TCGTGTCATATATATGGTCACTTCAAGCAACCAAGCAACCTGCTTGCTTCTTGGTAATCCATGTTATAAGTACCTATGGCTGAGCCAGAGCTAACTCACATTCTATAGCTCCTTTGCCTGCTAATGCCAGGCCCTGGCTCCAATAACTTTTGACACAACCGCAGACCCCGGTAACATCCAGCCCGGTTCCTGGTTCTCGCGGGTTTTTCAGGAAGAACAGTTACGACTCCTTTGTTTGCCAAATATCCACACCATTAGTGCCATAAGTTCATTTGCCAGAAACGCGTCTGCAGAATATGGTGGTAACTGGCAAAGTGTAGGTATACATTAGTACCTAATGTTATAAAAATCATTGCACATCACTCGTTGTGGTCAGGGTGTACTTTCCTACCTAACGTTAGAAAAAATCATTGTACACCATTCGTCGTGTTTAAGGCATGACATATCGTAAATAATCTCAAAACAGGTAGAATCATGCTCCTACCTTCGAATTTCAATAACTTTGATGGCGGGCCCCCGAGCGCCGCGCGCAACGCACCGCCTGGACTCCCCAGCGCCGTTTCCGCGTTGCCGTTGCGTAAATACAATATTTCTGCGTACCAAGAACTGTACAAAATGTACGGGACCAAAGTAAACCATTCGTCATGTTTAAGGCAGGACATATCGTAAATAATCACAAAACAGGTAGATTAATGATCTTAGCTTCAATTTTTTTATAATTACGATGGCGAGCTCCCGAGCGCCGCACACACACAGCACCCGCGACACCATTACTGCTCGGGTCACAACATTACTGCGAACCATAACAATGTACCGGAACAAGGTAGCAAGAATCCATGAAATTTGATCCTCGACGTCAACGGGACCATGGGTTGCAGGGGGATTGGGTGGGGAATGTAAAGCAAAATGAGAACATGGCAGCTAAATAAAAGCTCACTATATGACACCTATATATGGCATGGAACAAGGATGCCAATGAGATGCTGGGTTGAAGGGGATATAGGGTGGGGAGGTTAGGTTAGGTTAGGTTAGGTTAGGTTAGGTTAGGTTAGGTTAGGTTAGGTTAGGTTAGGTTAGGTTAGGTTAGGTTAGGTTAGGTTAGGTTAGGTCAGGTCATGTCAGGTCAGGCTAGCTTAGCTTAGCTTAGCTTAGGTTCTGGTCTATTCTCAGTTTGGTTAGGTTAGGTTAGGTTAGGTTAGGTTAGGTTTGGCTAGTTTAGGATATGTTCTGGACTATTCTGGCCTGCGTGTTTCATAAATGTACCTAAACTCGATAAGAAACGATTTTGGTTGCCTTATTATTGTTACCTTGGTCCCGTACATGTTTTATGGTTCTTGATAAGCAGAAATATTGTGCTTTCGCAACAACGCAGAAACGGCGCTTGGAAGTCGAGGCAGTGCGGTAGCGGGGCGTGCGGAGCTCGGGAGCTCGCTATCGAATTTATTAAAATTCGAGGGTAGGAGCATGATTCTATCTGTTTTGAAATTATTTACGATATGTTCCGCCTTAAACACGACCAATGGTTTACCTTGGTCCCGTACATTTTGTAGAGTTCTTGGTAAGCAGAAATATTGTATTTACGCAACGGCAACGCAGAAACGGCGCTGGGGAGTCCAGGCGGCGCGGTGCGCGCGGCGCTCGGGAGCCCGCCATCGAAGTTATTGAAATTCGAATGTAGGAGCATGATTCCACCTGTTTTGAGATTATTTACGATATGTGCCGCCTTGAACACGACGAATGGTGTGCAATGATTTTTTCTAACGTTAGGTAGGAAAGTACACCTACACCTTCGTTGTGTTTCAGGCAGAACATATCGTAAATAATCATAAAACAAATAGATTTATGTTCCTACCTTCAAATTTTAATAACGACGATAGCGAGCTCCCGAGCGCTGTGCACACCCCACCGCCTCGACCCACCAGCGCCGTTTCTGCGTTATCGTTGCGTAGTTACAATATTTCTACTTATCAAGAACCATACAAAATGTACGGGGCCGAGGTAACAACAATAATGCAGTGAAAAACGTATCTTATCTCGTGTAGGTACGTTTACGAAACAGACAGGTCAGAATAGTCCAGAACATAGCCTAAACTAGCCTAACCTAGTCTAGCCTAGCCTAGCCTAGCCTAAACTAACCTAACCTAACCTCCCCACCCTATCCCCTTCAACCCAGTGTCCCACTGGCATCCATGTTCCATGCCATATATATGTACCATATTAAGCAGCTTTGTTTAGCCACCATATTCTCAATTTGCTTTTCATTCCCATCCAAAAACGTCATATTTGCCCACCATGTCGACCAATCTACAAACAATACGGAAGACTGCTTGGATACGCAAGAAACATATTTCATTGGATTTTTGTTACCTTGGCCCCGTACATTTTCATGGTTCTTGATGCGCAATAATGTTGTGATCCCGCGTAGCAATGGCGCCGGGGCCGCGGTTGCTGCGTGTTTGCGGCGCTCGGATGTTCGCTATCGTAGTTATTCAATTTCCAAGGTGAGATTTTAGATGACCTGTTTTACGATTAATTAGGGTACGTTCTGCCTTAAAAACGACGATTGATGTACGATGCTCTTTTTTAACAAGAGGTAGCGATGTATACCCTGACCACTGGTAGATGTACAGAGGGAACATTCTAAACTATTAACACAGTGCATACATTCCGTTAAAATCGGACGCAAATTCATCTCACCTCCCCCATACCGCAGATTTCACACCTCACACCGACCGCACACTGGCAGTGCGTTGCCGTTCCACATTCCCATGAAAACCACGCCAGCTGGGCTTTATGTTCGGAAAAACACATTCTTATCAGCTAATCAATATTTGTTATATACCACTACTAGATGGTTATATATATATATATATATATATATATATATATATATATATATATGTAGATCTTAATATAATGTATATATGGTTGCTTAATTTGTCTACCTTCTAGCTTCCTTCGAAATGCCTAGAAGAATAATCAGAGTCGAATGGAATATTCCAGAATATCTGGAATACAAAATATCGAAAATTACCGTGCAAAATGCTGTAATCTTCTTGGACAAAAATCATCTGAAATTTCCATTCCTCTCTTTTGAGCTGCGTCTCAAGCTTTACGACATATCGCTGTGCCGAAAGTGCATTTGTTATCATCGGAAGCTGCATTTCAACACATACAAACCTTGCTTGTGTCTGATATTGTTGTGGATGATTCAAATTGATTATTGGTGTTATGTTGATATTTAAATTGACACGGTGGATGGTGTGCTTTTTAGTGCGAGCAATAAGAAGTCACCAAAATAGAACCGTTGTCCCACATTCTCACACGTAGTAACTACACCACCAGCAGCCTTAGTTCCTTGACGTCATGTTCCCTTTGGGCTTTAGATAAATGAAACATGTGATACCAGTTCCCCTATCTACGGCCTTAATGAGTGACGCGCGGTGGCGCCACATTGATGTGCGAGGTGTCATGGATGGTTGTTGCGTGATTTAGTTGATAATCATTTTTTGCTATTCTTATGTAAACTGATGTATGTGTGTATATGTATAAACACACACACACACACACACACACACACACACACACGCACACACACACACACACACACACACACACACACACACACACACACACACACACCCTATATATATATATATATATATATATATATATATATATATATATATAGTATTCATTATTTCTGTGATATACCCACGGAAGAGCGGGCCTTTCTTTTCAGGCTAACATTAGGCAGCCAAAAGCCCAGTCGCAGACCTATCAGGTCTGCATCATACCTGTAGCGTGACATGTTATTTATTTTGTTCTTCTGAATTTGTAGTTTTATTAACATTAAAGAACAGCAAATTTGTTTTATGGGATATGAGGAACAGCCTGATTAGATAACCAGTAATGTTCGTAGACCTAATTTTAGTAATTTACATTAATAACAGCACACAATGCTGGACCTTAAAAAGTGTGGGTGTGAGCGGCAACTGCTGTGAAGAACTTCTGGTAAGATTCTGGTTCTTGCTGGTTCCTGAACAATTTTAGAATGGGTCTTGGTTCTTGCTGAAATTGAATCCCCATCTGAACCCCGAGCTACATCTTGGTTCTTGCTGGATCACTGTGCATATTCCTGGCTGGGTCTTGGTTCTTGCTGAATCCCTCAACATAATGCCAGGCTAGATCTTGTTCTTGCTGGGTCCCTATGTCCAATCCAAGTTGGATCTTGGCTATTGCTAGTTCTCTCAGCTTGGTAACAGGCTGGATCCTGGTTCTTGCTGGACCTTTCGTCTTCATGTCAGGCTGGATCCTGATTCTTGCTAGATCTTTTGGCTTATTGTCAAGTTGGATTCTGGTTCTTGCTGGATCTTTTGACTTATTGTCAACCTGGATCCTGGTTCTTGATGGATCTTTCGATTTATTGCCAGACTGGTTTCTGGGTTCTCCTGGTTCCGGAACCAGGAACTAGGAACCGGTCCCGGGAATAAATCTTGGGAACCAGGGATAAGTCTGATCAGACCCATCTGATTTGACCAGGAAAACCATTTTTTCTCGAAATCCTTCCGAATAACTGATATTTTGATTTGAAGCAGCGACACCTGCGGGATAAATCTTAATCGAATCCCTACTCACCACTATAAAATAAATACATTTGATTTGCCTCGCTTTTTCCAACGTGTGTGTCCTGAAAAATTGCACAATGCGTTGCCAGAATATTTATGCAATAAACGCAATGGCAGCTTGAAACACTTCTAAATCAACACAATAGACGAACATGAACCTATTATTCCGCAAATTTAACCAAATGTTATACCGTGGCTTTGATTTCTCTCTTTTATACTATTTACCGCAATGGCTCTATTCGACGCGCCGTCTCGAAATTTGGCATTTTGGCTTTGATGGTGTGGGTATCACAGTCCATAGTGATACGCTGCTTCAAACTTCGACCAATGCGCTTCTCAGTAACAGACCAATGTCGCCCATTGGGCCAATCACAAGCGTTCTTTTATTCGCAGTAGTGGAGGAGCCGCGGCGCTTGTCATGGCGACGGCAGTCGCGACTGCAGGAAAGAAGCGTAGTCCTGTTACAAGGCGTTGACGGCGTGAATGTGGCTTGGAAATAATTAAGGTGATATTCTCATGTTTTGGCGGTGCTACAGTGACACTACCCGATGCCTTTACAAGACGAAACTGGTTCTGAGGTTTTACCAGAATATGTGCGAATAAAGAATGGTCAAGCACACGGCCACCTGCATGTAGCGCACACTTATCTTCAAAAGCTTAGAAACAGACGTAACCCTGGAATGTAACAATGGTTGGGAGGGCATCGGCTCGTGCTATCACTTGCCGACAGCTCTCCTGTCTAGACATGAACATGGATCGCCGGCACCGAGTTTATGTGATGATAACAGTACAACAATAACAGCAACTGATGCTGCAAGAATTATGTGAAGTGCTAGTATTAGAACGTAGGCCCTAGGACGAAAACAAACACATTAAAAGAAGGCAGGAATTGAAGAAGCACTTTCAAATATGACATCACTTTCGGTCTTGGACGTGGCGGTACAGCGGTCAGCTCAACAAAGACGAAAGTTCGGCTGGTCTGCAGCTGCAAGAGTTGTAAAGGGATACAGACATTTTCCTCGTTTCAGATAGAATAACATTTCGTTTTTTTGGAAAACCCAAGCCATTTACGCATGTCCCGCCCTTCTTTACGAAACCGAAACGGCCATGCTGACCTGCAGCCCAAAACAATTTCCACGACCAAAAATAAGCATTTTTTCTACACATGGTATGCATAATACCTACAAATCCGCGCGCGTCACGTCATTCTCTCGCCCTAGACGTCCACTTATCAATATTTGCAAATAGCGTTTAAGAAGCCAATGCTCGCAAAATACTAACTACGCTACAGAACACCAGACCGGCGTTTGAATCGGTACGGTGGGTATAACACTCTGTGCACTGAGTCCGTTTTAAGCCCCCCAGAGTGCACTTAATGCTTGTCACTTTCAGATCGGGATCGGTGAACTGAACATCGGAACGCTCAGATCGCCGCGATCCCCCCACCAAGGCCATGCTCAGCCTCAGCAGCGCGACTGCTCCGGAGGTCAGGCCAATTCATTCCGCCCGCGCTCAGGTCATGTTCTTGAGCCCGGGGCGTCGGTGACCCTGTCACCTCGCCGTGACCCCAGGTCATGGCAGATGTGCGAGGGTGCGCGGGCCGCGCCAGACCGGCGGCGGCGTGGTGGGCGGCGGCGCGGTGCTCGGTCGCCACGTGGCCGCCTCCAGCCGGCATCGCTGGCGCCGCGCGTTGCTGCGGATCGCCACGTCCACCAGGTCGGTGGCCAGCACATCGCAGACAGTGACGATGTTGGCGCGCTCCCACCAGCGGTGGCGCAGGCGAGCCGTCAGCTCGCGCGCCGCGGCGGCGCGCTCGGCCAGGTCGGCGTCCTCGTCCAAACAGGTCTCGATCGTCCAGTTATACGGATAGGGCGCGCGCGTCATCAGCCCATCCACGAAGTCGAGCAGCTCGGAGGCGTTGCGGCTGGGGTGGCGCGCCACCGGCGTCGGCGGCCAGAGGAAAGGCGAGTCACGGCGCGACTGGTGGTTGTACGTGACGACCAGCCGGCGACCTGTGTTCCACAGCTGGTTGAGGCGCAGTTCGGAGCCCATACTGACGGGCGCCATCCAGTCGCCAAGCCGGCGCTCGAGGAGGTCAACCAGCGCGGCGTGCCGCTCCGACCGGCCTTCAAAGCCACGCAGCGTCGCCAGCTCGAGCAGCACGATCTCGTTGGAGGCGCGCAGGAAGCGGCGCAGCGGCGACAGCACGGCGCGCAGCGGCGTCACGCCCACGCCGTCGCGCACGTCCACCCAAAACGGCGCCGCGCCGCCGGCCACATACGTGACGCGCACATCTAGGAAGCGCACGCCCAGCATGAGCTGCGTCCAGATGTCGAGCTCGGCAGCGCCGGCGTCGCGCGAGCCGACAAGGAAGACGTCGCGCAGCCGATGGGCGCCGATCAGGTCCTTGCTCGTCACCATCCAGCTGGGTTCGCTCTTCAGGCAGCTGGAGGCGCTGACTTTTCCGTCGCGCATGTAGGCCGCCCAGCGGCCCAGGCAGTTGTCATTGACGTAGACGTCGTCGAGCGGCGGCAGGGTAACCGTGAGCGAGGTGAGGCGGTGGCCGCGGCGCCGGTCCGGCACCAGCCGCTCCAGCGGCGTCGTCAGATTGCGGGCCGGGTCGGCGCCGAACACGCCCACCCAGTCGGCGTCGCCAAGCTTGCGCGCCTCCCAGTGCAGGATGAGCGTGCGTGCCGCGAGTGCGGGGCCGTGCGAGAGCGTGAGGAAAGCGTGCGCGTGCGGCGGCCGTTCGAGACACTCTGCAACATAGCCAGCAGCGCCGGTCACTGCCGGTCGGGGGTGGCCCAAGCAGAGCATGCCGACGTGGGGCGCATGGGAACCGGCGCCGCTATGCATACAAGGACGGACCCCCGTGGCGCTCGCTTTGTTCGCAGACAGTGCGCCAGACGGAAAAACCTGCGATGTGTTTTGTGTCGCTGGGAGCGCGGAGCCAGTGCCGTCAGCACTGACGGCTTCATGCCTCATCGGCCGTCACGCTACGCCTGGCGGCACGTGCCGAGGCGAGGCGCTGCATCCGGGCCCGGCCGAGTCGGAAGTCCTCCCTCCTCCCCACGCTGCCCTCCCCCCACAACGGCAGCCAGCCAGCGGACCATGCACGCATGTACAAACGAGGCTTCCAGCAGAGGAGGAGTATGTCGAATGTGCCCGGGACCAGGGTCACACCACAAGTGACATAGAGGTCACGGACGGGGCGGACCACAGAAGCCCAGGGTTAGGTGGCTCTGCAGCGGATCAGGGCAGGCTGACCGGGAGACGAGACCGGTCTCGCCAGGGCCATCGTGGGACAGAGCCAAGGTGCGGTGCGCCAGCGGGGTGCAGTGAAGTCTGGTGGCGCGTCTGTACACATGGGCACACACACACACACACACACACACACACACACGTTGTCTGGGCTGCATGCATCATTAATGCAACACGGCAGTATCGGACACCGGACGGCAGATGGGCTCAGACACGTGCCGTTGGCTTGCATCGCGCGGTGACCTTCCAGCTACAGCAAGCATAAACAAGCAGCCTGCTTGTTTGAACAAGTCTAGGAGACTGGGTTTCCCGACGCAGACAACGGGCCCACAACGGAACACATCGTCGCCACGAACATGCACACGATGGGCAACAGAAGGAGCACAATCTCGCAGTTGGAAGTTACAGGAACCAACGATGACCCCGCTTACATCCTAGGACTCTGCCGTGTTCCGCCGACTGACGCTGACGACCTCACGCACACCAGAGCCGGCCATGCGGTGGCGGGCGGAGGCCGTCAGCGGTCGGCGGACAGGGTCAGGCCAGGTGACGGTCATGCGCGGCAGGCCGCGCGTGACGGTCGCCACGCGTGACGCTCGTTACTCACCATACTGCGGCGGGGTGGCCCGCGCGCGCCGCGAGGGGAGCGTCGCGCCGCTGCCGACGACGGCCGCCAGCAGCAGCAGCAACCGCCCGAGCCCTGCCAACCAGCCAGCCATGTCACCGACGCGCCGCCACTGCCGCGCCGCCGCCGCCGCTGCCGCGCTGTCCCGCAGCGCGCTACATACGCGGCTCCAGCCCGCAGCCGAGCGGCGGCCCGAAAATGGCGACCGAGACGAGGCGGCCATGTTGGCTGCCGCCGCCACCGGCTGCCGCTGACAGCGCCGCTGGCAGTCGGCCCAGTTGCAGATCAGGACCGATTTTCAGTGATGGCTCATTTCCTTGTTACGGGCAATGGGCGGTAGGGCTTTTGTGGCGCGCGGCGGCGGTCGCCGCTGACGGCCAGATCCTGGCTGATGCCGCGGGCGGCCGCCAGCGGAAATTACCTGGTCATTGTCATCGAACTCAGTGGATCCTGTTCATAGCCTTGGGTCCACCGTGCTGCACCAGCCAGCTGGCCCAGGAGAGCAGTGTCGGGAGCCTTGTGGATAGTGCATCGGGGCATACACGGCTAATGTATGCTTGGACACTAGAGAGCCTGATATGCTGCGCCCGCACACATGTTGATTGTCAGCGAAAGATGGCTGGTAAAGTAGCTTCTTTCGGATGTCGCACGTATCATATGGCTCGCAGGTACTGCCTTGGCGGGTTTAAACATTCTATTTCAATATCAAAATACGATGCGTCGCCACAGCTGATACCCGCTGGAAAACTCGGTGCGAGGCTGCGCAAGCGAGGATTACTACCAATGCCAATACCAACCTGCCTCATCCAACATGGCGAAGGTACCGACAATCAATCCTGGCGTTTGAATCGGAATTAATGACCGGGTAATGGCCACCATTGCCTGGCCCCTCGCTGTATCGTGCGGGAGTTCGGCTGCTGTTGAAATGGAATCAGGGGCGTGGCCAGCATCTTGGTAGAGGGAGGGGGACGGGGCTAACAAAGTCCTCTGCTGGCGAAAGCCCCGCCCCCCTTAAAGACGGTCCCTCTGTATTTAAATATATCACTTTTTACTTTGGTATATTTACAACTTCTTTAACCGGAACAGAGGCCAACAACCACGGGAAGATGTATTTCTGTATGCATTTTGAAGTCAATTAACTGAAGAAATCAAGCGTTAGGTAACTGCATCGAGTTACCACCGGGGTTATCCATATTACAGTAGTTCGGTGCAAGCTACCCAAGCTGGAGTGCTCAATGGTTTTTCCGAAATTTTTCAAAGTTCTACATAGATATTGAGGATCCCATGAATTGAAATCAGATCGAAATTCGTATTGGCATGAATCAAAAGCAGATTGAAATTGGTATTGACATGGCCAACCCAGGTAGGTCTTAAGATTCTCATCCTTAATTTAGAATGGAGTTGTGAACTGTTTAGGTAACAGTTGTTATCTTGCGCACTCGCAGGCTTCAAGAACGAAAACACTGACGCCCACCGTTGCAGGCTCCATGGGTCGCGCGGCGCCGGCCTCGGGGTCAGTGGTGGGCGGCGCCAACAGGCGAACGAAGACGACCACATATCTGAAGGAAGAACCTTTTAACGCCTTATCTTTGGTTCGCGCGTTTGGAAGGAATTCTGTGCCGTGTGTTACATCCATGCTATTTTCAGATGGATAATGGGAACGAATTAACATTTACAGCACTGTACGTAACGCCAGGAAGGAATCTCTATGTTTCGTTTTGCTGTAACTGCTAAAACTGTAGCTGTTTACACCAGTCAGGGGGCAACCAAAAAGTGTGCAGCTGATATATACGGTTCAGCGTTACTTTTAAAAGCTAAAAAGTAATTTTGAAAGACATTCGGAAGCAGGATTTCACGACACTTCGTCGTTCCCGCGTTTCTGAACCCCGCCGCCTGCTATTAGATGCAGCAGTCAAGGCCGCTCGTTTTGACCAAAACTGTGATCCTGGGCATCGGCACCATTGTCCCCACAAACTGTGATCCCGGACATCGGCACCATTGTCCCCACAAACTGTGATCCCGGACATCGGCACCATTGTCCCTACAAATGGCGAACGCGCAGAATTTTCGAGATAATCAGCTTTCCTAGTCGATTCTGGAAAAGGACGAATATTCTCAGGCCAAACAGGGATGGATGTCTTCACGCAAGCATGACTGGCCATGGTATACACGTTTTTGGCCTTATTTCGATACACTCTAAAGAACACCCATGAGACACCTTACCTTTCTCGGGTAGGGTGCTCCGTGAGTAGAACACTAGGGAGTTCACCAACTTTGCCGGTCGGGGGCTGGAAAGCCTCCTCCGTCACAGCTCGACGTGCTTTCCAGCTGTTATTTTGTCGAAACGAGGGGCCTGGCCCCCTGATCGATTCGGAGGCCCCTGATCGATCCGGAGGCCCTATGATCGATTCTACTCGATATCTTTTTCAAACAGCACGCCACAGTTTTTACAGAACACCAACATTCAGGGGATCAGACAAAGAGCGATTGCCAGCCATTACCACGGTACATTGCATATTTAACATTTAGAGTACGAAAAAATACGTGTATATGGAAACGAATTTAAGTGAACAAACATCACGCATCACACTTCATTCAAAAATGCAAGCGAGGTGGAGTACACAGACATTACACATTACGCATCAATTATACACTCAGGCGATTCCAATTGAACAGGCACCGCACACCACGCGTCAGGCATCACTAACACATGCAGACGATTTTAGGCTAGCACACACCACACATCAAGGCACATATCACGCTCGCATAATTGGCCATGATGAGCTCGGTACATTAAGATTTGGCTGCCAACTTTTTATAAGAATATATTCCTTTATTTTCCTGTCTGGGTGATCCCGTACTCTGTAGATGGCCGAGCTCTACAAGGGGTATAGGGTCCAAATCTCCGTCGATTTCAGCCTGACCGTGTTTTGCCAAAAACTGGTCACCGAAAGGGTATTCTCTTTTCCTCTAATTTCTTCTTTCTTCTTTCTATTCTAATTCTTCTCTAATTTTGGCATCTCGCAGGTGCTCATTATATCTCAAACGAATAGGGCGCATGAACTCCCCGACATAGACTATGTTCTTCCCCTGTTTCTCACACAGTTTTTACTTAATTTCGTAAACCACTTTTTTGCGTACAAGCCCCTTGAAACTCAGACTTGCATAAATGACATCTATTGCCACCCGGGCACTGAGGATTGGAGATGGAAGATTTCACCAAACACTTTTTAGCTTCTTGTCGTTCTACTAAGCCATGCGTACGCGCAGTTTTGATTTTTGAACGATGTGTTTGATTTTCTAAACCAAATGCTCATCTGTGTGAGGTAGCGTTAAGAACCGTCGTCCGATGGGACGTGTTGCCGCCTCCCACCACCCATCCCCTCCACGCGCTTTATATTTTTTTACCTCTTCCAACATTCTACCTAAAAGTCACGGAGGATATCCATTGCCCAGCAGTCCATATTTTGTTGATGCTCTTTTTTTCCTTTCACTACTTGATATGCTGTTTAGAGCCCACCGGAACATGTTACGAATTATGTTGTGCTTAGCGAAAGTTGGATGTGCAGATTCACATTGCAAAATTATATCAGAATTAGTGGGCTTGATAAAGAGCCCCGTTTCTAACGCTGTGCGATTGTTCCTCCTTTCGACCGTCACTAACTAAGCCAAATATGGCACCCCTATCCGCTCCCCTTATCCTCCATCGTAATGGAACATACAGGGGCCGGCAAGGTAAAATTAACGTTCATTCACCTCGGTTGCATGTTTGAATGAAGGATGATGCGTGATACCTGTTTACTTGAATTCATTTGCATGTGCACGTATTTTCACGAATTGTTATTCTTAAATATGCACTGTACCAAGGTAGTGGCTAACAATTGTGCCTTACTTAATCCCCTGGATGTTGGTGTCCTGTAAAATCTGTGGCTGTTAAAAAAAGTGAGAAAATCGAGTAGGATCATCGGCAGGCAATTTTGAATTCACTTCTGCTATTGTTTCGATGAAAGCGTGGTGCCGAAAAATAAACCCATCTATATCTCCGTTCTCCTGGTTTTTCTCCAAGGAATAAGGCTATTACTGCTGTCTTATCTAAGTTCGGCAAGTCACTAACTTTTTGTTTATATATCAGCCATGTATGCGCGTGCGTTAAGGGAAGTGCATGGACGCTTGACGTATACTTTTTGGGCGCTCGAATTGCCTAATGGGCACGGTAAGAGAAGTTTTCAGGCAAAAGTCGACCATGATTTGGCGCCAGATGACGGTTTGGCGCCACTTTCAGCGCCGTATCGGGACTGTGTCCTGAAAATCTGCATAATATCCGAACGAGCTGCTTTGACTCACAGCAGTCTTCGTTAAAGCGCCATGCTGAACAGTACCACTTAAACACTCATATAAAGTCTTTTGTCGCATTCGTCCTGCTCGTGAGCTGAAAGGCATCTGATTGCGCTCTCCCTGGACTTTGGCGTCGTAAGCACCTAGAATGCCTTTGTTGTAACAGTAAAAAATACATTGTATTTGATAGTTTACGCCATATTTTTATTTTGGATTACCAAATTAGTTGACATTTAGTTTCACAATGGGATCCAAACCATCATGCTCTGGAATGCTAAGACGCATGAACGTTCTGAAGTCTTTTTGTAGCACAACATTTCGTATCTTATATTTTTTCTTCTCTCGTCAAAATCCATGAGTATCATACAACTCTGACTGGTTCTCACGAAACATCTTCAGTTCGAGTTTTGGAATGCAAAAGAGCACATAACCAATTGTGAATCATTCGATGCGCCACAGAAAATCATCAGCATACCAGTCAAGGGCAGTTAAGCTCACTTTGTGGTGAAAATAGCCCAGACATTAAAACTTTCTTCCGTTAGCAAAGATATGCGTCCAATTGAAAGGTCATGAAAGCGCGTTTCTCTCGTCCTCGGCGCCTTTCAGGTGAGCCGAGTCGCCATTCCACTGCGCATCGTGCTGATTGTCTACAACAGCGCCGTCTGAGCTGAGTGTGGCGTC